TTTGAAAAAGTGAGGCGTTCTTAACTGATCCAACTAATATAGCTAGGAAGTAGGTGCCATAGAAAAGGTAACTACAGAAAAAAACTTTGCGGCCCGACCTTAACTAAAACTTTTAAACTCCGTGAACTTACCTAATTTTCGGCAATCTCCAAGTTTTGCCGCCATTTTGAGGTACTTGTCAACATGAAGCGTAGCAGATATAAATCGAGCAGGTAGATCTAAAACAGTCAGAAATACATACGAAAGCATTTAAATGAACTTCACTTTCAATTCAAGGGGCAAAATTTGAAATTGTTCCTTAAACCTACCATTCCTACATCCCCATGAGACCATTTCTTCCAACAATTCAAACACTACAACTAGTGACCACTAGTGTTCGAATTTCCCTTGTCGATTCCACCGTAAGAAATAACCTGTGCCACCCAAGCTTCGACTCGAATGTGAAGTACGAATCAAACAACCTAACTGCGTCATCTTCGAGGCCATATAACGCTCGCATTTTGATTTTCTGATCGACAAGAACGGTGATCCGGAGGTGATCGCCATGTTTACCTAATAAACGTGACCGCTGACCAGCCGCTGAGTGAAAACAGTACGCCGCGAGGTGGTGTGGGTGGCGGACTTATCGTGATAAGATATTAGAATACACGCTAAAAAAGCTTTAGGACTCTCAGTCTAAACAGTGAAGGCATGCTTCGTGGTACAGACAACTTTTATTTTATTCTCATAACTTTTTCCTTTAAATTAGAACTGGTATTAATTAATAGAGTTATTTAAATATTTTTTTAAAACCGAGGTACCCATATGACCTTTTTGCTTTCCTCAGTGGTATAAAATAAGGTGTCTTTTCTTCCGGAACCTTTTATTTATGCGTTATTGCACGGAATGTACACTATACTTAGAAGGTTTGTTCTAAGTCATTTTTGCTGTTCCCAAGAATGTATGCAAAATCATTGCTTTATACAAAGCTGATTCTAAAATTTGATTTTCCGTAACAGTAACTAATGTCATTTACGTAAGGTGTTAATAAAACTAGTAATGTACAATTTTTAGCGTTTTCCACTTATAAGCCTGGCATACAATTGTCAAGTGAACTATGTTAGTTTCAGCTCATTTCTTGATTCGATGTGACCTTTTATCACTAAACCCCATTCTTTTCATTTGCAATTTTCCTGTACTTTTTTTTTCATGCGACAACGACAAAGAGTTTTATAAGTAAACTGATTTTTTGGTGTACCACGCTTATCACATTGTATATACAAATACATGCAAAAGGCCAGCTAAATAAGCTCCTCCTCCTGCTCCTGATTTTTGGGGTTGCCTTCGCCCCATGCCTCTGCACGACTCCCATTTAAATGGGAGCTCGAAGAAAGTACAGATTTCCTCAAGCATGGAAACAGTAAAATAGTTCAATTTTCCCTCCTTGACGTAGTCACACAAGTCATAAATGTCATAGACAATCGGATGCGTTAAGCCAATTTCTGTTACAACTGATTCGACGGTGGTCATGTGATTCACTTCTTCCTCGTCAATTAATTCCTCGTCAGATTTATCGTCAACCCCGGTGCTCGGAGACGAACCTAAAATAGTTGTGTACTTTATGAGGGCCACAAGTTTATTAGCCTTTGGCTATTAGGTGCTACCCTCTTTAAATAAAGGCTTTACCTACCCCCTCTCCATCTCGAGGAGGACAAACGGAAGAAAAATCCTTGTATTTGGGCTTTGGTCAGCCACTCTTCCTTCCCCTTCGCTTTCCTCATATCTTGCGAGACTTGTCGCAGATTCTCTTTCCTTCCAGATTGCTCACCAATTTCAAACTTGGAGGTGAGATACTGCCTTACTTTCTCTTAGAAGCGAACAGCGCCACCTTCTGGCTTATGAAGTGCCCACCCTTCACTTAAATTCGACTGGAAAGGTTCGCTACCCTGTCTCTCGATAACATTGATACTGTCGTCTTGTGAAAGGGTAAGGGATGAGGATTTTTCAACCCAGCTTAAATCTAGAGATTTCAAAGATGTTGTAATGTCAAAAATAAAGGAAATGACCCATGAATTCCAGTGCTCAGTGGAAGGATAATTACACCATCAAGCAGTGACCCAATGGCCCTTGTAGCTGTCTAAAATGGAGAGATTATAAGTTGGCTATGAAAATTACACTTTTTTCTCTTTTGCTTTGACTTTGTGAGGTGGTTTTGTCACAATTTGAACGGACACGCGTCACTCTTACGTAATGTTTTAACGGGAAACCAAACAGCATCATTTTATTTCCAAGTAGGTATATATTCAGCCGTTCTTAGCCACCATTTTGCGAGAACAAAGTATATGTATATATTAAGAGTGGGACAAAAAAAAAAACAGTTTACTTGTAAAAATCTTTGTGTTTTTTATATCTTTACATACTTATAAAAAATTGTAGAGGAAAAATGAAAATGAAGAAAAAGAAAATGTGTCCTGCATAGCAGTCTTTCAAATTTCCTTTTAGCTGACAGGGAGTCGTCAGAGGCATGGGGCGAAGGCAACCCAAAAAATTAGGAGCAGGGAGAGGAGCTTATTTAGCCGGCCTTTTGAATGTATTTGAATGTAAAATGTAATAAGCGTGGTACACTAAAAAATCGGTTTACTTATTATAAAACTCTTTGCCGTTGTCATATGAAAAAAAAAGTACAGGAAAATTGCAAATGAAAAGAATGGGGTTTGGTGATAAAAGGTCACATCAAATCAAGGAATGAGTTGAAACTAACATAGTTCACTTGACAATTGTATGTCAGTCTTATAAGTGGAAAACGCTAAAAATTGTACATTGCTAGTTTTATTAACACCTTACCTAAATGACATTGGTTACTGTTACGGAAAATCATATTTTAGAGTCAGCTTTGTATAAAGCTATGATTTTGCATACATTCTTGGGAACAGCAAAATGATTTAGAACAAACCTTCTAAGTATAGTGTTCATTCCGTGCAATAACGCATAAAATAAAAGGTTCCGGAAGAAAAGACACCTTATTTTATACCACTGAGGAAAAGCAAAAGGGTCATATGGGTACCTCGGTTAAAAATATTTAAATAACTCTATTAATTAATACCAGTTCTAATTTAAAGGAAAAAGTTATGATAATAAAATAAAAGTTGTCTGTACCACGAAGCATGCCTTCACTGTTTAGACTGAGAGTCCTAAAGCTTTTTTAGCGTGTATTCGAATATCTTATCACGATAAGTCCGCCACCCACACCACCCTGCGCCGTGCTGTTTTCATTCAGCGGCTGGTCAGCGGTCACGTTTATTAGGTAAACATGGCGATCACCTCCGGATCACCGTTCTTGTCAATCAGAAAATCAAAATGCGAGCGTTATATGGCCTCGAAGGTGACGCAGTTATGTTGTTTGATTCGTACTTCACATTCGAGTCGAAGCTTGGGTGGCACAGGTTATTTCTTACGGTAGAATCGACAAGGGAAATTCGAACACTAGTGGTCACTAGTTGTAGTGTTTGAATTGTTGGAAGAAATGGTCTCATGGGGATGTAGGAATGGTAGGTTTAAGGAACAATTTCAAATTTTGCCCCTTGAATTGAAAGTGAAGTTCATTTAAATGCTTTCGTATGTATTTCTGACTGTTTTAGATCTACCTGCTCGATTTATATCTGCTACGCTTCATGTTGACAAGTACCTCAAAATGGCGGCAAAACTTGGAGATTGCCGAAAATTAGGTAAGTTCACGGAGTTATAAAGTTTTAGTAAAGGTCAGGCCGCAAAGTTTTTTTCTGTAGTTACCTTTTCTATGGCACCTACTTCCTAGATATATTAGTTGGATCAGTTAAGAACGCCTCACTTATTCAAAAATGTACCTTGAATTTGATCGGTTTTCGGGTGTGTGACTTAAGCGAACCGATAAGGTGTCGTTCAAGTCTTCCTGTTTGCTTGAATGAAACGTGATGTTCACGAAAGTCGCCTCGATGGATAAGATAGAGTTAATATACATGGCTGTGGTATTTGTTTTTTGCTGAGTCCCGTAGTTTGTTGTAAATTGTCCTGCAAAGTTGCCTCAAATTAACGTCTTGAAAAGTGTCACGACAGGCCTTCGGTCGAGTGAAATTTAATTTCCGTAAAACTCTGAAAAATAAAGAGATCCGATCAAACGGATTGTGGTTTTAGTA